GTGTAAATACCGGGCGATGTGCTTGCTGCAATTCACACCCCACAGCCCCCCAATGCTCTAAAACCCAACAAACACGCACATTTCCTCTGAAAGCACCAAAATCCTGAAGCGCTCAACCCTCGGGGTCGCCAACCGCGGTGCCTTCAAGGTCATGGAGAAAGGCTGCTGCTGCCTCAGTCCGGCTACTGCAGGACAAGTCGTGTTCTAGGCCTGGGCACAGATCTGACCGCCCAACCCTGCCAGCACCCGCAGGGGTTGACGTGTCCTTTGCTGAAAAACTGATTCTTGTTTCACGTCCAACCTGCGCAACAAACCGTTCAAGAAATGGGAGCATCTCCTCGACCGCCATTCCTCTACGGCGGAGGCTTAGTGTCCATGGCGAAATACTTTAGTTGTTTGGGAGTGGTGGTGGGTTGCCACATTGCAATTCTCACCATCAGCATTTGGTAGTTGTCTGCCATACTTCCCCTGCCATGCCTCAACAATTGCTTTGGGACCCTTCTCATGTTCTCGAACACTTCGGGCCCTGGGCTATAAAGGTGGCTGAGCCGAAAGCTTTGAAGAGATGGGACTGCTGGAATTCAGCACTCCTAGTGTCCTAGTGCAAACTGAAGAGGCTGCATGGCATCTTCACGGAACATTGACTCTGACCATCTCCCAAACCAAAGCGTCGGTCCGGAAGCACGTCCTTTGACCCTGCATCTGCCGTTTTCCAAAATTCCCGAGGTTGCTCGTGGCTAGTCTTTACGGTCAAGCCCTCTGAAAGCTTTGCCTTCGGCAAAAGCTGGTCCCGATGAACTTTGAGGATAGGGTAGACATGCGTAGAAACGGCGCATGCGGTCTAGTCTAGACTTGGCATAAGCCGGGCTCATCCAACTCGAAAGATATTCGGCAGCTCCTTGGAAAAGCTTGCGACGTGGTGCCTGCATGTAATCGTGCCTTTAGCGCCAGCAGTTCACCTTTCGCTCTTTCTGGTTCCACCAATACTTGCCATGGGCAGTCGCTGGCCGGAAGTCTTTCTGCTCTTGTCTCGCCTGCCCAGGCGACAAAGACAACGCTTGAATGCTCACGACTGAAACTTGTCAGTGTCCCCAGTTCGCCCCGGGGCCTTCAACATTGCGCTTCGCGCGATGCTGGCCAACAAGGGATCCGTTGATTGCGTGACCAACGGCTCAGCAACCAGTTGGGTCGTAGAGCGTTCTGGAGGATTCACCATCAGCCTGACGTGTCTGTGAAGGCTTTAGTTCAATTGCCAATTTTGCTGATGTCATGACTCCTCTCCGCCCCGTTTCCGCCTCCTCCACTCCTGGCGTCGTGGCAGAGAGCTCAGCGTCGGCTCTGAGGGCGTCTTCTTCAGAGACATGGCGCCACAAGTGCCGAGACTTATGTGAAGGAGGTCTTCAAGAATCTTCACAGGTTATACGTCGGATGACAGATGCTCACTCCGTGTGTGCATGTGCGTATGCAGCGGTGTTTCTTGCGTCGTAATGGCGTGTCACTGCTCGAGCCCCATATGAAGTGTGCTGAGAGTCCGAAGCGATGTCGGTTGCTGATTTTCGTGCGAGCAATGACCTCGCCCTTTTTCACCACGGTCACTAACTGCGGTGAAGATGCTCGTCCTTCTGCTTCTGCTTCGCTTGCCTGTCAAAGGCGGACCAGGTTGCAGAGGCCACTTTGACAAAGCTTTCATTCCAAGGACCGAACACCGCTGCTGCTCTCTGAATCTGAAAGATCTCAGCGCTGGGCATGCCAAGAGCTACCTTCAAAGCGGATCGAAGAGTTTGCCGAAGCCCAGAAACAGATCAAAATGTCAGACCCTCTGATCTGCGGAACTGCAACACTCTCTGCTGAAGTTATGTCTCTAATTCGATCCACATCCACAGGCCTCTACGGTCCAGAAAAAGTTCAAGCTGCAAAGGATAACTTGTGATCCAACCTGCGAAGCACAGACTCGAAACCACTGTGTGCATGCCCATGTACCTAGCATCTCAGGAAGCGACCGACTGGCAGTACTCGTAGCTGCCAACCTAGATACCCAAGACGGCGAAACGTGCTTGGCTGGAGCAATCCCAACCACCCTCCCAAGTAACGGGAATGCTCAGCGCGCTAGAAATTGTCGCGAAGGAATATGGGATGAAATTCAATCACAGCACCAACCGAATTGCTCTCGCACCCCAAATCTGATCACGCCACACTCAAGTTTCTAGACGGCTCATTAGTGCCTGCAACGACTCGGGTCAAATATCTGGGGTTTGGGATAAGCTGGATCAACCCGTTTCATACCGCCTTCGATCACAGACTAGGACTTACCGAGGAAGCGTTCAAAAAGCTGCGACGTCTGGTTTGGAACAGTTCATTGCCCAGAAAAAAGTTCGCATCTACCACACTGCCACTATTCCTGTTCTTCTTTATGGCCTAGATTCTCTGAGGCTAACGGACAAGTTCCTCACAAAGATACATGGACGGTACTACGTATAGGTTCTTGCGCAAAAGCTCGGCATTTGTGCAATTTCCATATCGGATAGATATCACTACCAGAAGAAGCTTCCCGCAAATTACGGACCACACCGCATCTAGCTCTAAACCCCCCCGAAAGATACCGGATAATCGCCCCGGCTGGTGCGGGATCCCCCTAACCTGCATGGAGATGATAAGAAAAACACTATCTGTCCGCCACCGTAACAGTAACAGAGGTTGAAAAGGCTGCTGCTATTGTTCCCGTATGTTGCGAAGCCGGCAGCGGAATCGCGAAAAATCCGCTCCGATGCGAACTGTCTTGCCGAAATCGCACAGATTTGATACTTCTAGAATCAGCGGCCAGCTTCAACCACTTCCTACCAGCGAAGTACGTGGCCACAGCACGGCAGCATACGCCCTTCAAGCTCAGGGGGTGACTGCAAATCCAGCTCCGCGGACGACTTGGTGAAAGTGGTACCTCAGACGGGCTTGCACAGCACAGATGCATTCTGCATTCATTTTCGGCTGCTGCAAGGGCATGTATTCATCTGACTTATGGACGCTATGTAGCCTGGTATTCATCTTGGCTTTGCAGCTCGTTTATCTTTGCGCTGGCACTCCGTCGCAGCGACTTCCACTGCGAAGATTTTGACACTGATGCTGGAGCTCTTTGTCTGAACTTCGTCTGACATCGTCAAGCCGACTGGCAACATCGGCTGTGAACAGCTCGGGGCAATGTGCAAGGTAGTGACAGGTGAGGAATTTCCGTGCAAAGCGCACAAAGCTAGGTGTCCGGCACGAGGTACGGATACCAGCCAAGTCTGAGAACCACCTTAAGTCACGCGCTCTCCTGTGATTACCAACTTACCTCCCGTCCTGCTTCTCCCGAGCGATCCCAAAGCGCAAGCCTGTGACAGAATCCCCGACTCCCAAACTTCCAGCCCCCTCGAACACTGTGCCACATCCAACAGTAGAACACACGCACGCCAATGAAAGTACGTAGCGCAGTCACGGTGTGGCGCGAAGAACTTCGATAAACCCAACATGTTGCATCAGATCGAAGCCGTGGACGTGAACTTTGGCACAGGATTCCGCCTTCGTAAGCTCCACACCCAGGTGAGCAAATGTGCAGCACGCGCTGCTGGCCCCTTGAAAGCCTGCCGTCTAACAGCCACTTGGCACAAAAGCACTGTCAGAAACTTGCAAGTCCTGCCTTGTAGATGGCGAAGCACATTGTGTTGAGCTCGACTGCAGTGCCTCACCGCACTATGCCGACAAGATCACAACAAAATACGGGAGCGCCAAAATACCTGCATCGAAGGCACAATATGCCGTCAGGTGTGCGAAGCCCTCGTAGCTGATAGGGAAGCAGACCAGCCAAGCTGCCGTCACCTGAAGAGGCTGCGAGGCTGCGAGATCTTCGCCTCTGTGCATCACGTGATGCCTCCGAGCAGCGTGGTGAAGCAGAATACTGGCCTCGGCCCGGGCATACATGGGGCGCCTGTGGGGGTGCCTTTGGGGGCATATGGTGACGGGCCGTGGTGACGGATTTCTCTGAGGGAGGATCCCAACGCCGCCTCGACGGTTGACATTCAGGCACCTCTGCGTTCAGGTGCGATCGGTAGCAGCACTTCATAAAAGGGGAGTGCAAGCACCATCAAGTTGTAGATGGTGTCCAACATCGTGTAGCACAACACCTTTGAAACGAGAAAACGCTGTTGTGGCAGTGACTCGTGCAACACCGATGCTGTTGAACGTCAAGAAATCAAGGTACCGCACGCTCCATGACAAAGCTTTGTGAGCTGCTGGTGACGGCTTTGCCAAAGACCAACCTCCAGGCAGCGACTGGCAACTGAACGGCACAGTTGTGAGCTCAGATGCCTGTCAGGAAAACCAATGGTGGAATCGCGAAGAGGTTAAAGCCTAGGTGTCACCAGTGCTACATGCTCGGCTATTCATCCGGTCTCTGACACAACCAGGGCTCGTGCAATTGTGAATCTCTTGACGCCGCTTTAAAGCTGCTGATCCATTGTCCATGCTCAACGTTGTTCAGTCATGGTCCGGGGGTTGTCACCCTTGTTGTACTTTTGCGCAAGCCTCAGGATGACTCAAGGTGAGTCTCGAGAACGGTGAGCCGCGTGCAGCAGTTGCTTGCACTTTCATCAACCGCCGCAGAATGCGAACAGGAAGGCTAGGTCTCTCTACTTGCAACCTATCACATTCAGCGATCTCACAGGAGGGCCTTTCGCTTCACTTGGCAGCTCCTTTGAAGCTGTGCCGTCACGTTCGCCAAGCTTGCGTCCACCAAGCCGGTTAGATGTCAGGCATAGTGCGGTAAAGCAGCCTTCCACATCACGTTCCATCGTCCTACCATCCAAATGCTTCAACAAATTTCGACCGATCTTGCAATCGCTGGGCGCGACAAGTCGTAGCTGTACACATGCAGCTTGGCAAATTTCAGGAATTCACATTGGGGACTTCGATTTTCATAATGCTAAAGCAACAAACCATGCCAAATTCCACATGCCCTGCTGTGGAGGACATCATTTTGCGACAGCCGTGCTGTCACTGCTCACTACGCGGGCCAAGACGTCCAACCTCACAAACCCCGCTCTACCCCTCTCACACTCGAGTCGTATGGGAGGTTAACTCATGTTGCCCTGATGTGCTATGAATGTAACCTCAAGTTCCAGCAAGCTGCAATGTGTCTGCTGCAGGACGAGACCGCGGACTGCAGGAGAACAGGTGTCAAGGGCTGCTTCAAATGAACACTGCTTTGCATGCTCGTAGCCGCCATGCACATCAGAGCCTTCCTAGAACAGAAGAAGGAGGGGCCGGCTGGCCTCAATCGCAAACATGGCAATATCAGAGCTCGAGCCCGCGGATCTGCATCATCAGGAATCGTCGGGCCGTTCTTCTTTACGATCAACTCAGGGCGTGCACGCAAAGTACCAATGGACAAAACGACTAACAGTCAGCTTGTACATCCCACCTCCGAGACAATCGCTGCCACATTGCTGAGGCTACTGAAGGGCACCACGGTACAGAACAGCTCCAGCATCACGCAACCCATCTGCCAAATGTCCACCTTTTCCGATATGCGAACTGTCGTCTCGAGCTGCTCGGGTGCCATGTACCTCGGAGAGCCCTGCAATCCGCACACCGTAATGTGCGTGTGGTCCAGATAAAGCGTGAGGCCAAAGTCACAGAGCTTGCAATTGAGCGAGACATCCAGCACGACATTCATGGTCTTCAGATCTCGATGAATAACATGCCTTTCGTGCAAAAATGACAGACCTTCGGCGACTTGACAGCCCATCAACGCCTTCTGCCTAAAGCTTAACGCTGGTCTTTTGCAGAATAGCAGATCCGACAAATTTCCCCCGGTCATCAGCTCCATAACGAAGATCAGCTGGTCAGCAGTCTGCGCAAACCCAAAGAAGGACACCAATCGCGGGTGATGCAAGTTGCACAGGAAGCCGAGCTCCTTCAGTGTGACCCGCCGCTCGTTGGCTGTATTCTGCTGGCAGATCTTGACAGCAACTGGATGTCCACGAACAGTCGCCTTCCAAACAGAGCCAAAGCTCCCAGAACCGATGTGCACCGTCTTCTGAATCTCGGTGACCTCAAGCACTCTTGGACTCCCGAAAGGATTCTGACCCTCCGCTGGCTCCCTGCATCCTTTGGGGCTCAGCGTGGGTAGGCGCGTGCCTGTGCCTGAGGAGCCTACTCGCCCGCGTGGGATGAAGGCCAGCGCCGTGTTCCTGGGCGTGACAGGCGTGACAGTGAGCTGCGTGCGGTGCGTGCGGTGCGTGGGCCGCGTGGGCGTGACCGCTTTCGGACTCCCAGGCCGCCCAGGCCCGAGAGCCGCTGGCACTTTGGCTTTGGCTCTGAGACGGGCGGCCTCGGCCTCGGCCTCGGCCTCGGGGGGCTTGGCGTTGCTGTCGGGCGGTTGCGGTCTCGGGCTGGGCAAGCGAAGGATCCTCTGGCACACGCAGGGCACAGGCCGAGGTGCAGGGCTTTTGCCCGGCCTTGGCCTTGGACTTGGAGGCTCTGCCTGTCTCAGTCTCAGCACTGGGGCCGAGTGACATCGACCTTGGCCTTGCTTCGGCTTTTCGGACGCCGTCGCCGACGCCGTCGCCAGCGGCCGCCGATCAGAAGAAGAACGAAGCAGTGCTGTCGATGGCTGTGTCAACTCCCGTCTTGACACCCACTGCGGTGTCCCGTCGCAGGAGCGAGCACGTAGGGCAGACACAGGTTTGGCCTGGTCTGGAGCCTGTAGCTGCCCCTGCCTGGGAGCGTAGCCCGGCTGTGACCCGGACGAAGCATGAACCGTTCTGCGGGGCGATGCCGACTTCGGCGGATGGTACATTCCACTGGAGATTCCTCCTGCTATGGAGATACAGGGCGGTCGCGCCAGAAGCTGACACCTGGCCGGGTCATAGGTGCCCCTCGGAGTTCCACCCACACTCTGGCTCCTGCGGACTCTGCTTGGTTGCAAAACGTGGTGAGACTTGCCTGAAGCCTTTCCACAGTGCACGAAAGGCGTGGCAAGACAAATGCGAACTTGTGGGCCAGGTGTGCAGTTCCCGGCATCGCCATGCCAAATGAATTCTGCTTGCTGCCTGACTTGTCTCCAGAACCTGCTTGCAAATGCTGACTCTTGCGACTAACTATGACTATGGTTTCTGAGGCAATCGCAACAGCACCAGCACTATGCAACCAAGAAGCACTGCACTTTGCTGTGGAATACCTTGAACACGTGTTGACAAGTTGCGAGCCGGAGACAAACCTTGGTGGTTTGCGCTTACATCTGCGGAAACAACCCAAAACGACAGCACAACTAAGCAGTGTCTGAGATGAAGACTTCGCTGCGCTCCATACTTCCGAGGTTGCTCTGGAAACCTGGGCCGATCTGACCAGATGTTCCACACTAAAGATGCTCATCGCACCGTGTTCCGCAAACTCCTGCCCCTGTCGGTCTTGGGAAGAGGCTGGCACACGATTTGAACGGAGGGCCGATTCTGCAGCATGCGCCGATCATGCATGACGACAATACCCGTAAGACTTACTGAATCTTACTGACTGCACGTGGTCTTTTGTAGGTGCTGTAAAGCTCCATGCTAGACAGCACAGAGCAGCGATATCTTCAACGTAGCATAGCCGCAGCGCCGCAGGCCGGGATTCCAGCAAAGCTAGGCTTGAACCCAAACCGAGCAGCACACCCGGTGAGTACAGCAGCAGGTCGACGGCAATCAGCAAGACACTGCGATGGAGAAACCAGTTTTTTTGAGTGCCAGATAGTGCCAGCACATCCCGACATTCTGGTTGGCACGATCGCGTATGGCCACTTTGTGCACTGGGGGAGTTGAAGGATATACCGATATACCCCACGCCTGTCATGTGCCTACACAGAACCGCTGGAAAACTTGCCGTCTCAGGCCAGCCGCATCAAGTGCAAGACCTGCGCTTGGTACCCCTTTATCAGTTCATATCAACTCACTAGGTCTTGAGATGACTGGCAGCATTCACTGAAGACTCTTTCCTGAATGCCAGGGATCACTGTACCCGCTAGAACTCCCTCCTTTTCGGGCCCTTTCCAACCGAACATCTCCTTTTCCGGTTTAGGCTTCGCTAGTCAACATAGCCTTTTACGAATTGGGTTTGGCGCCACTTGCCGGCTCATCTGCTTCTTTGTGCATTTCCCCTGTCTGCCTCCATAATGTCAGCTTGTAAAGGTGAAATGGTATACTAGCTTCCACGTTGGAGCTACACGATTTCTGGCATGAATCAGGGCAGAAAGCCAGTTCTGGCTGGATATGAGCATTGGCAAGACGCCACCGTCCTTTCATGGGATACGGCGAGTGTGGCTTCCCCGTAAACTCAAGATCAAGGTGCGGCGTAGTGGTTCCCATCCCGCATTTCGTTCTGGGGTCTAGGTTCGCCCGCCGATGTCTCCGTTCAGGATTCTGAGGTTTCATGCGGGTTCTCGGGTTTAGCGAACAAGCCATTCCATGCTTTGCTTCGTGGCGACTCGGGTCGTCGTCCACAGGCACAGGCAGTGCTTCCCAGCGAATATCCAGGAACGGCGACAGAGAGACCAGCACCGGGGGTAAGGCTGCTGTGTCGGAGCGACGCACCTTGTTGAAGATGATCTCTGGCAGCTCGAACCAACCTTCGCGGTGTCATATGGTTCGATATGTTCGATGGTGGGTACTGCCGGAGCTTTCAGCCTGACTCGCCGTCGTTTGGGAGCTGTATGTCATCGAAGCGGAAGCCTGCTGAAATGAAGGCTCACCAACGAGGTTGCGATCTCACTCAAGTTGCCTTCGGTAGAACTCGGAACATGAATGGCTGTCCAGCTCTCATCGGCTCCGTCTCGAGCCAGCTCTTTCGAAGCCTCTGCTCAACAACACTCTGCTGCTGACCTCCACTCTGGCTGTCTTGGCTTGCTATATCTTGCAGTCAAGGGGCCGTGAATAGAACAACCCGACGAGCCTTGGGGGGCAGTGCTCTTCTCGGGATTCTAGCTGATGCCTCTGGGCAGGACCGCAGGTGATGAAGCTTTTTTCAACATAAGTTGTTAGTATCCTGTAGTAACTCCAACCTTTTGGTCATGTGAGTCCCAGCAACACAGAACGCCTAAGTCAACGATCTTCACAACCACTCAGGCGCCAATACGAAAACTGATTCTTGGAATCCAGGGTCTGAGATCAGCACAGACACTCGATGCTCCTTCGCAATGTATTGGATGCAGTCATCCACGCCTGGGATGCAAAGGCAACGGGCAGCAGGCGGAAGACGGCAGCTCTTCAAAACAAGCTTCATGCAAATATGACTTGGCTTCGATTCAAGCTCATGGCTGGACATCACTCTGCCGACCTCCTGCGGTCAAGAAGTGTCGCCATGCTCTTTCGAGCGCACGAAGCGGGAATCGGTTGAACTCCAGCCTCCGAAGGCCCAGCTTTGTGGGAGGACACTGACCTGGCAGAGAATCCCGTAACAGGTCACGCCACAACTCACTGGCCTGGACTGAAGACGAAGAGGACCTCAAGGCTGCACGATGCTGTGACGGACATGCCGTTGTTCTCTATACTGCCACACGCTGGCAATTGTAAGTTGTAGGGGCCTCGCCACCCACGCAAGTGAAAACCTCAATAGCCACACCACAGCAACCCACAAAAAGAGTGATTGACGAACAGACTCTCGCCCGCCACCGCACGTGCACACAAGAACTTCCCTTGAAGCCGACTCGAACGAAAGCTCGGCGTTCTGGCTTTGACGAATGGGTCCGGGAAGAATACGACGACGGTCACAGGAGCAGATCAAACCGGGTGAAACTGCATGTTTATCGTCGCTCTTTCAACACGATCACGAAGAGATCGGAGCGTAACAGCCCATGACAGAGTCAGCTTCCCTTACGGATGACACGAAGACACAAACAGACACACGCGAAACAAAGAACAAAAAACTGGTTTTCGCAAAGGAACTACGCCTTGATGATCTTGGTGGAAAAACTGGATACCTCCAGACACACCCACCACACCCTCACACAGAGCCCACGACTTTCGCTTTGAGTCTTGGAGTCTTCGGCTCAGAGACACTGCCAATTCGCTCTCGGCTGTGGGAGAAGACCCGGCCTTGAAGCTGGATAGAGCTTCAGGACACCGGCTCGCGATGAGCTTTCTGGCAAGCTCTGCACCTTACCGTTCCGGAAACTCTCCGCTCCTCAGGGCGTAGTACGCCGAAGCCAGCTGGCAGTTGGAAGGCCTCAGCCTTCGAAGCTAAGACTGCCGCCGTCCACGAGCTCCGGCTGATTCGCCTGTGCCCAAACTCCGCAAGGCTCCCCGGCTTGGATGTGCGAACATGCTCCGAGAGGTTTACGGTGAGATCGAAAAGACTGCAGAGGTTTCTCGATTGGTTCCCTGATTCTGTACTCGAGCTATGCCTACTCCTTTGGGTTTCCCTGTGGCACCCAGGCATTTGCAATGGCAGTACACACATGAAGATTAGTGGCCCAGCGGGCATTCATTGTCAAGTGCAGCATATTCTAATATACATCTTGACACGAAAATCTCCAGAGTGCCCCGGCTTTCTTGCAGGAACTCCGGTTCAGCTTCAGCTTTTCAGGCGTGCCAATCCCTGCGGGTTCCACTCTTTTCAGGTTGACCAGGGGTGGCGCCATGCAGGGTTCGTGACACTACCCTTCTGGCATGTCTAAATCTTTCTAGGCCTCACCACCCCTTTTCAACGGTTGAGGGTTTAGGGTTCAGGGCTTGGTACTACTAGGTCTGGGTTCATGGGTGTCGAGCTCGCAGTACCGAATTCTCCTCTTGCAAACCCCGTCCTCTCTCTTCCCGCCATCCTCACGACTTACCTGCTGCTCGGTTTGGTCTGCTCCTTTCAGGCTTCGCGCGGGTGGCTCATTCCTCTAGGGTTGGCGCGACCTGGAACGGACCGTAGAAGTAAATATGTAGATAGAGAAGCATGTAAGACGTAAATATGGAGACAGATAAGCATGTACATCTTTGGGCCAACACCCACTGGACACAGGTAGCAGATGAAAGGAGTTCAAAAACAAGACCACTTCTGGTCGGTTGCCGGGTCCGGCTTGCACGAAGCCGGGCCTGTTTCGAGCTCTGCCACCATCGCGACGACTGCACTGTATCTCTGCGGTCACCCCCTGGCACATTCACTGAGAACCCAGGTTTCCGCGTGTAGACGTGCAATGCGATAGAATTGCTCTGGTGCGAGGCGGCAAGGCCTTCGTGAGGTCTGCCGTGCACGACCTGCTTTGAGTGGCTGCGATGTCTTCCATGGGGACTGTGCAGTGCTTCCACCGGGGACGAGGCAGCAGACATGAAAAAGCCACGGCGTGCCAGGGCAGCCGCAACCTCGACAAATTCTTGGCTGACTCCTGTGGCAAGAAGGCCAAATCTCGACTGATTTGTGCGACAGCTTGCTGCAGCTGCCATCAGTGTCACAACCAAGCAACAAAGGTTTACCCTTGCCATCTCACCGCTCGACAGCTACAGTGAAGCTTGCTTCTACAAGGTCGCATGTCTCTTCGAAACCCACAAGCTTCGCAGCTCGGGAGGTCCTGCAAAGTAGTCCTGACAGCAACGGCGGCCCAAGCGATGAGAAAAAAGGATGCGAGGCGACGACTAAAGTACGCCCACAGGAGACATCTGGCGGAAGATGAGCGGAAGCTGAGCTGAAGCGGTTCAATGAAAGCTCTCCTCGAGCTGGAAAAGTGTCACGCCTCTCTCGCCGCGCGACCTGCTCACAGCCAGATTCGGCGTCGGAGTGTCTACGAAACGATGCTTGAACAGTTCACAGTTTCTTCGAGCACATTCGAACGCACAGCCAATGGGCATGTCCGCGCCAGCCTGCAACACATGACGTTGTCCAGCTCAAACGCAACCTCGCAACATGTTTCGACCCACAGACCCTAAAGAGCAACTTGTGGGCTCAGTGTCGAGTGCGGCCGAGTCTCAACGGCAACCTGCCCAGAGTGATCGCTTCAAGAAGTCACAACACTTCGCCACATGCAAGCTGCTGCAAGCATGCGGCTTACGGGCGAGACTCAAAGCCTCGCGGGATCGGAGCCAGGAAGTCAGGCGCTCCACGCGCGTCTGCTCTCTCGCCGCGAACCAGTCCTTTGCAGAGACTCCCTAGTTCTCGACGCAGACGCAAGAGGAGCACGGTTGAAGCTCCAGCCGATTAGGAATCTCTTCACATGCGAGTTGCAAAGTACCAGCAGGCGATCCCAAGGCCAAACAACACCGAGAACATCGAATCAACCTGAGGCCGCGATCAGGGAGCGTGCTTTTGCTGAAACTCAATCCGGCCAAGCCACGACGTGGGTGCTGACTGAATTTGCGCCGCGGGCTTTCGCGTCCTCATGCGCTTTCTGTTCCCGCCGTCGGGCTTCCTGCAAGAGCACGAGTGAACTGGCCATGAGAGGCTATGCGGCTATGCAGTCGACTACCAGGCGACCATGGGCAACACGTCGAAAGACATGCAGTGAGGAAGACGGCATGTTTTTGCTTGAGCACTTGAAAGCTAGAGTAGCGACCACAGGGAGATGTCATGCTCCATGGTTATGGGCAGTTATGGGTACTTAGGGAGTGACTGGCAGCAAATTGAGATAGGATTATCTCTTTCTGCTGCGATCCTGAGCGAGCGTACACTGACTTGTTGGGACGCTTGGTCGCTTCCTCCAGTTACTTGTTAGTCAAGGAAATGCCCGCAAATAACCAACAAACTCATGAATCGTCTGGATCCGTCTGGTCTGCGGGGGATGAATTGTGTTGCAAACTTCATAGCTCTGGCAAGCTGCACTGTACTCTTACCAGTACCTTTCCAGATGAACCACGATGCGAGCAAATGGCATCACGGCCGTGGCGTTCAGATCTTCAGCCAAAGCGATCCAGAGCGGAGTCCGAGACGCGCCGTTGCATTGAACACAGGGGCTGGATGCGTGCTCGTTGCCACCTTGTCGCGTGGAAAGCCCGCCCGCGTGGCTTTCTTGACACACCCGGAACCCAGTATCATTGGCAAAAATGGCCTCCTCGCTTCTCCTTGAATAGTGTGTTGAATTGAATACAAAATGGGGCACCTCCATGCCGTGGGGATTCTCTCATGGCTCACATAGTGCCCCCCCCCCCCATCCCTGGCAATCGCTTTGGGTAGGTACTAGTATAGGTACCTCCGCCATCAAAAACATGCCTGCGTCCCCATCTCCGCCCGCAGTGTCGAACTGCGCAGCTACAAGCACAAACTCCGCCTCGACGCTGATTGCAAGCAGCCTTCGCTGCAGCCTGAAGATACGCAGCAAACCATTACATCAACCAAGCACGGGATGAGATTGTAACACTACAACATTGATGCTACTCACGACACACCCACACAGCTGTTGTCAAACTGAATGGCTCGTGTTGGCTATCCATCTACGCACTCCCCACCCAGCTCATCTGCCTGACATGCTGTTTTCGCCATGACAGCTGGAAACATGCGCCGCATGGCGTCTGAAGCCGCACTCGCGACAGCAGCTTCATTGCGCGAACTTTCGCTTACAGCTAGCCACGATCAATGCCTGAAACAGCACTCCATGCTTGTTCTTGCTGTCCGAACATCCACGATACATGCTTGACGAATATGAAACTTCTATGTTGAGAGGCGGTGGGCTGATGGTTAACCTCTTCTTCACGCGTTGCCGGTGCTGCCTCGTGCCTCGATCAGAGTTCTTGAACCAGGCCCTAGGCCCGAGCCCTGAAAGCTCAGCGAGTTGCAAAACGAAGGGTGGCGCATGTCTAGCTCACCAGGGCCTGTAAACTTCGCAGCCGAGATGGGCAGGGTCCTTTTCTGCTCTCACAAGCGCCTGCTTTGCCTTCGTCTCCTTCTCAGCTCAGCCTGCTCCGACAGATCTCCTCGTGGAATGGACCTCCGGTCCAGGCCTAGGCGGCTCTGGACCAAGACGTACCTCTCGATCTCGTGACCGTCGTGACCGTCGCGACCGGGCAGATGTCGCGCTCGTTTCGGATAGGCTCTGGCTCTGGAAGGGATCCGTGTTGGTCACTAGTACGGAGCCGACCTTCCAGATTTTGATGAGACCGGGCCGCTGTCAGTGCTGGCAGCACATCTACCGCCGCCAACGAACCCACAACCGGGGCAACCAGGCGCGGTGTTGGCCCTCGGAAGACAGAAAGCGAAATCTGACTGCCGAGTTTCAGGAGCTCTGATCTGGTAAGGGCAGCGCGCGCAATGTCCAACACTCATGTTGGCACCACTGCCTGATGTCTTCTTGAGATATGGGACATAAACTCATAAACTATGCTCTTGTACTGTCGAAGCTGAGGCCGTTACCAGGACCTCCGGCCAACACGCTGTTGCCACAAGCCCCACCACAACAGCAAGCAGGGCTTCCACCACAGCCACCGCAACAGCTACAGCCACTGCAGCAACCACAACCACCGCAACCACCACAAGCTCCGCAGCCAGCACAGCCCGGACAGCTACCACAGCCACCGCAGCCAGCGAAGCCACCGCAGCCACCACAGCCACCGCAGCCACCGCAGCCACCACAGCCAGCACAGCCACTACAGACAGGGCAGCCACCACAACCACCGCAGCCAAAGCCACCACAGCAACCACGACCACCCATACAGCCTTGCCCACACACACCCTCACCTTGAACGCTTCCAAAGTTTCCCATGCCATTGCTTTGTGCACAACTTCCTGCTTTTGGCGGCCCGGGCTGCCCGCTTGCGCCATCACCACCTTGTCGGTTCTTGCTGTGCTAGGAGTTAGATTCCACCACAAGCTGGCACAAGCAGCCGACCTTCCGACCTGGATTGCATACCCATCATATTCATGGCCTGCAGCTCCAGTTGCGAAGAAGGGCCCTTCGTGAACCCCCAGAGCAAGTGGAATCAGGTCGGCTTGGCCATCATGGGGTTCATGGAAGCCATCATCATCGGGTTCATCCTAGGCACTAGGTCACCTTCTGGCAGCATGGCGCTAACGAGAGCCAAGTGCGCAGCATGCTCATCATTCCCATCATCATGGCCGGATTCATGCCTGGTGAAAAACGAAATCTGAACCATTCAAAGCATTTCACGGCACCCACCCGTCGTTGTTCAGGCTCGTCACCTTTCTCGGCCTTCTCGTCGCCGTCGACCCTCCGAAAATACGTGTTGCTTGATTTTCGCTTGAGGTCCACGCAAAGCACTCAAACTGAGGAGCGCGCTGTCCCATGGCATTCTTCATTGACTGTTGAAGCATCGAACGCGCGGCCTGCACGCGTTTGCTGTGCTGTGCAACCGACAAGCTAGCCTGGCCTAAGTTACACCTCCGGCGGGTATCTTTCTGACCAAGATAATACCGACAGCTATGGACATAGCCTACGACGGGTGGCCTTCTAAGAAAAACACGCCTTGCTGTCGTCCACAGCATCGTCATCGCTACTAGCCGTAGCCTGCCGTTTGCAGATGGAGAAATCAGCAACCTGCAACATGGACCGCGCCTTTTTCTTCTTCCGCTCTCGGTCCTCCCGGTAGGCAGAAGCCTCAGGATCCAGGTGCGCTCAACATGCAGATGACATGAACGATGTTCTGACAGCAAAACAGCAGCAGAGCGCAATCGCCCAGTGTGACAAGCAGGTACGGCCCACCGATGAACCGCAGTAGGAGTGTTCAAGGACCAAACATCCCAAAGGATCGGCGCACCACGATACTGCAAGAATGTGGAAATTATCACGGAGCACGAGCTTTGCCCGATGTATCAGACACGCATCAAGGTGTGTGCCGATACACCCGATACATGCCGCGAATCGTGCGAACCTGTTGGGGCGTCGAGAAGCTCAAGACACTTGTGGGACTTGTCGGTGCTCAAATCTACTTCGCGAACAAGTACATCTGAAATGATGCTCGAACCACCTAGCAATCGGAGTTATGAACATAGCGACCTCGCTGGGCCCGCGATCTCGATCTCAGGACATAGCGGGCCCAGCAGAGTGGGCATCACTGTCGTGCCGTTTCACATCTACCTGTCGACTGGCCGATTCTCACAAGCGACTCTTCGCAAAAGAAGCTAAAGCCGCAAGCCCCGCCCACTTGTTGTCGATCATGTGCTGAGCGTGGGCCTCAAATGACAGGATTTCCGGAATACATCATTGAAGCAAAAAAACACTCAGCACTGCGCACCTCGATTGCCCGATCCACAGAGTCAAGCCGTGCAAATCGCACGAAGGCAAACCCTCGAGAAGTGCCATCGGGCCTTGCGGATGCCGCAATGGCAACATGGCAACAGATCGAGTCCGATGGTCAGTACTGACCCGGTAATGCAAAGCCTCTACGGCACATGTGATGCCACCACCGGCTTCGGCTCCTTAGGCCTTAGGCCCACACTGGCGCTTGATCTCCACAACCTGCAGGTTTCGTCTCAAGCTGCAACGCTCGCGACAAGCTGGCCCGATGCGAATGTTGTGGACAAAACGTATTAGCCAGCGGCGTCCGTCTGCAAATCCTTTAGTCGCTGAGCCTCAGCCTGGATCTTAACTTCCGTTTCCTCGCTTTTCTCCGGGCTCTTCGTGTAGTGCAGGTTCTCAAAGAGACAAGGCTACTGAGCAAACTACTTCAGGCCTGCACCTCGCCAAATCTGGCAAAGTGCGCATGGATGCGGTCCTGCACAATAGCCAGGCAGCGCACTCAAACATGAACTCCCATCTTCTCCGCAATCAGCAGGACTGGAAACATGCAAACGAAGCAAGCAACAACTGACCTTGGCACCCACACAAAAAAGCTTGCCTTGGGCGAGGTGTTGCGCCCTTGGCTTCCCCGCTTTGTACCCGCATACCAACCATTCACAAGTTTCTTCATGTGTCCTGAGCTCCGGCTGGTTGGGCTGAACAAGACTCTTGCGACGCCAATTGAACCACTGTGAAAGCAATCTCAGCCGAATCATCGGAGCTGGTGGGAATAGCGCTCAAAAGCTTTGTGAATCGTGGAACATTGTGCCGACCACGCCCGCCCGGCCGCGCGCTGTCTGTCACCGGCACATGCACATTCAGACCGCCTGCTGCCGCAGTGATCTGAGCTTGTTGATCCAGGTAAGGAGCACGCGCAGTGCCGAGAAAAATCACTTTACGGATGAATCGTGTATCTTGTCCTTGCTGAAAACACATCGTCCACGTGTGTCATGAGCACGCCCAGCCTACAAAGTTGTGCACCAGGCAGGCACTCTCGAGGCGAGGACGTTTTGTTAGGAGCTGTGGGCATTCAAGCGAAAGTCTGTGCGATGAAATGCCGACACCGTCGTAGCTTTCTCAGCCATCAACAAGGGGTGTCAACCCAGCAAAACCCGCTCATTCGCAATTCCCGAACGCCAAACCCTTCATCCTGAACCCGACTCTAGGGCACATTTCTCGGTCATGACAACTGGGACCGGAACACAAACACTGAATCTCATACCCTAAACCTTAATCCTTCTACACTACCATAGAATCCGAGGTAGACACAAGATGACACAAGGCTGGTCTTCAGAGTTTGGGACGCAGCTTAGCCCAACAACGATTCATGGATCGCAGGCCGAAGCCGAAGCCCATCCCTGCTTCAAGGCCATCTGTCGATCCGCCAGGTTCTAAAGCTCTGTATATCGCACACCCCTCTTTCAGTCTCAGCGCTCCGTTTCAATCTAGAAGCCAGCCATCGCGCTTCTGGAGTTTTGCTGAAGAGTTTCTTGGGGCGGACTTGCAGACGGCGTCATATTGCGACCACAGTGAGTCCACAAAAGCCGAAACGGGCAGCCACCTACTGTGCTCCTCTGTGGTCGTCTTTCGAAGCCCTCCCACGAAGATGCGGTATGAATTGGAGTCCACCTGCCAAGAAGCTTCACCACAAGCCCCGAAAAGGACGTCAACACTAACGTGGGAAAGCCAACTCCAAAAGAGGCCTTCCCAGTGTTTGCCTGTCAGATCAAGGGTCGCTCCGTGACATGATGTGCTGTCGCAGCATATCGAACCTTGTTGGACATCTGCTCCACCTAGGCCACAGGGCTTCCAGAGTGCCCAACTCCGAATGCAAGGCGACCGGCAGTCGATGATCGGCCATGTGCGGATCACGGCTGGGGTATGAGCATCACTCCGAGAGAATACAGATGTACTGGGGGCGAACAAGCTTAGGCTTACCGGCTATAGTTGCCATGGAAGGGCCTTACTGGACCTGACTGACCTAAGATGCTGGCTGATTTTCCGAGGAACCTTGACCCGAGATCATCTCGCAGATGCCCCGTGCAGCATAGTGAAGTTGCTAGCTTCAACCAGCCCGATAGTCTGGGAAACCCTGCTCCCGACAGTGATCTGCGCAACTGCTACCTCCGACCGAGCAGAACGAATGTTGTTGGTGGGAGCGGTAAAGCTGCAAGAGTTCTCAAGAGGATGACTCTAAAGTCGTAAAAATGAATCCGGCTTTCTTGCATGTGCAAAAAACCTGCTTGCAAGATGGAGGAAAGCTGACAATCGACATGGTAGAAAAGAAAGCCAGATCACAATGCCAGCCAGGAGAGCACTTTGCTCATCCATTCCACGGCAGCTGACGTGGGATCTGTCGGCAGAGTCGCCGAAGCAATGATTCCACAAACCTTCTACGGCCCAGGGACGTACAGGGTACATCCGTTTCCAGGGCAACAGGCATGCTGAAGCCACGTGCCAGAGGAGTTTCAAGCTATTCGCAAGTTTATAGAGTGATGTGAGATCTGCTAGGCGAACAGCTTCGCATCACCGGCAGCACTCAGGCAGTTGACCCTCAGGTTGCAAGACACAGTGCACAGACTGTCGTCAAGAAGACTGTGGAACGACTGCAACTGCGAGAGTAAGGAAATCACGCACTGATCAGAGCTTTCAACACTGCCGTGTTGGTATTCCTGTTCCAGGCACGAAGCAACCCAGCTTAATGTGCACATGAGAGCTCATGTTGCATCCTGTGTAGGCCAACGCCAAATCTGGCTTTGCCCTGAGGGGTCTGAGTTGCTGAAGCAATCGCCTTGGGAGGATGGCACAGATGCGAAATGGGACTGGCTGGGGCGGTCTCTTGTTAAGGCAGCTACTTGGCATCTCACCGACGCAACCTAAGCAACAGCATCCAAATCTTGCTCGTCAAAACTAGCAACTCAGTTGAATGGCACGCTCCAACGACTGAAGGATGGAACAGCTTCCGAACCCTCCGCGTTCTTGCAGTGGCTCCGCCTTGCGTTTGATGCACAAGGCGACATTAGCTTAAAAGCACCGACTGGAGGTCCTGAAAGATCTAACGAGGTCCTGACGCCGCAGAGTGATAGTCCGACAGGTGGACTTCCACCCCCTGTAATGTCCATGGAAGGCACCAGTGTTTCGCGGAGCACAACTTGCAGTACCTGCCTTCGGTCGAAATACCTGCACAGTCCCAAAACACAGGTACAGAGACAAGTGATGTTCACTGGAATCCAGAGCACAGAAGCGAGCTCAGCGAAACAAACACTAAGCGCCCTGCAAACTCGTTCAAGCCGGCTACGAAAGCAGACACCGGACCGTTGCCCTGCATTGCAATGAAGAAGGACTCAAAACAAAGCTTCAGCGAGATGTGAAATGCTACCGGAATGCCTTGCCAACAATCTCATGCTCCTTTCAAGACTGCAAGTGGTCGCCAGTGCTCCAAATGCCCAATTCTTGCACAGCTGAGTGCTCCTTGCCGGCTGCCCGAACTCTTGCCTTGGGGGAGACAAAGCCAGCAGCCTGCCTCTTTCCACTGTTCACTGCCGTTCAATTGTTGAGATGGACGCCTTTAGAGCAACGTCATCCTCGCTCTGCGCCGAAGACGTTGACCTGGCAGGCGTGGTCCAGCTCCATAGGCTTCATGAGATTCACCGGATCTCAAAGAAGCTGAAGCAAGGCAGGGCGGCAGATCGTAATCTATCAGGGCCACCGGTTCCTCCAAAGAATTAAACTGCAATTCGCATTGCCATGCATCTTGTGAATCCCCCCGCTTTCAATCTGACTACGCGATGTGTCCATCCCCAACCCGTCTCTAACCGCAGCCAGGGACATGAGCCTGGGCACAGCCTGAGACAGCCTGAGTTTGACGAGATCGGCCTCCTGGCCTCAGACTAGAGGGCTACTGCGGGTTGCTCTCCGTCCTGAGGATCTATGTACGTCTGCTTGAAGGCATCGAAGATCTGCACTGCAGCGATCTCCTGCCGTCATAGCGGATATAGGGCAACTCTATGACAAAGGCACAAAAGAGCCATCGGTGAAGTCTTGCAAATGCAAACATGCTTTACCAAATGAGAACCATCCTTGCTGGTCTTGTCAGAGATCTTCTGAACCACCTGCATCCCGAGAAATGTCTCTGGACGAACGTGCATGTTTGTGCATGTGTGTGCATCTGTGTGCGTGTGTGTCTGTGTGGGTGCCGAGTATGGTGAGTCTGTTGCCATCTACTCCGTGCCTGGGCAAATTCGGCCTGACAGTCCTGGAAGCATGTTGCAGCCATGCGCAGCCACTGCAGCCATGAAGGGACTCCAATGAAAACGGTACAAGTAAAGGAAGCGAGTGATTACTGCAGACACACATCCTCTGGCTTTCACGACGACAGCGTCCAAGCAGACAGGGAGGCTTTATCAGCTTGTGCCAAGGCCTGGGAAACCCCTCGCCCTTTCGCAGCTTTCGCTACACTTGTCGCTACACACGAGCACAGTCGTGACCTTTCGCGCAACCTTTCGCAACTTTTCCGTGCGACGCTTCGCAAGCGCTATATATATTAGGGCTTCCGAACAAGAGGTTTAGGGGGAGTTGAGGATTCCCCCGGAATCCCAAAGAAACGCAAGTGGCTGGTGGTGGCGTGTGCTGAGTCCTTGGGCAAGGCAATGCCATACTCCTGCTCCAGGATGTAGGCGATGCCACCCTCAAACACCAAGAACTGCCCTTTTTGCAACAGCTTAATATCTGCAAAAGTCCACCTTCCCACTCTGGCTGTTCACCCGGATGATGGCTTCGTAATGACGACCTATGTCCTCTAAAGCAATGGGGATGTGTAAGAAACTTGGCTGTGGCACTGCTGCAAGTGTGTTGCACTAAGAAACCGCTGGCTCCTGCGGATCAATGGGCAAATAAGGAACTTCCCACACATTCTCCTTCTTGTTGGCCTTCGGGTCGATCATGCAGGCTCCATGCCCCATGCCACGCTTGCTACAAGCAAGCCATACACCCTCACCAAATGCTTGTGCACAATCCGTCTGCGAACCTCCAAGCCTTTCTTGATGGCATCCTTCAAGCAAGATTGAGTGCTGTCTTGCAGAAACCGGCAGGCTGCTGTCGACTGGGTCCTGGTGAGATCCAGAAAATGCTGTGTAAACAAGGCTTCCAGCCCACGGGTACCGCCTCGGAAGTTCCAAAACCATCAAAGAAAAGGGAGGACATGCGGTACCAGAGCATCAAAGTTGTTGTTTGAAGAAGCCTTCCCGAAGCTTTAGGGAGAGCTTGATTGGCTAGAATGGCTAGAATGCTCCTTGTTGACAGGCCTCCCCTGGCGTCGTGGCTCATGGAGTTTATTGTGAAGTCGTGTCTGAGCCTTTGCAGTGTTCGCGCTTGTGTCCACGACGTCATCGCCATGGGAGACTTCGGACCAACGTATTCACAGCTCCACGCTCACGCTCGAATCACTTCCGGGCGGGGCAAAGGAGCTGAAGACAACAGTCCAGCACGCCCAGGGGTAAGAGGTAACAGAAACTGAGGAGCAGGGTCTCTACAAGACGAGAAGTCGGAAGAAGCCCGTTTCACGAAACTCCAACGATTTGGACGTCGGGTCCAACTCGTGGCCCAAGAAATGGCGAGCCAAAAATGCCGAGTCTTCTTCCGGAGTGCCGCGAGGCACAGAGACCCGTCGTCCCAAGCCCAGGAAGTTCAGTTTTCGATCGGGACTAGCCTGCAAACATTTGCACCGTAGCTACGAAGAGCTGCGAACCTGTGCCGTTGCTGATAAAGTTGACTTCAGAAGTTCTCGGCCGCTGCAGGGAGTATATCTTCGTGCATTCAAGAAGTGCACAAACCCTACCAGGGGAGCTTTCGACCGCACTTCGGCAGCCATCTTGTTCTTGCCAGGACATGATGCCAAGACAGTCATTTCCCGACTGCACGTGGCTTTGCTTCTGCACCAGCTGCCGTTGCGTCTGAACATCGAGTCCGGGGCTCTGGAACCTTCAGCTCTGTGCAGTGCTCGGCCACAGTGATGGTCTCCTCACGATTTGCGCTCATGTGCTGGCCGATGTGAACGGAGAATGCCGCTACGCTGGCAGAAGGTAGACATCCTCTAGCTCCACATAGCTCACCTCGCTTTTGTGACACCAAGCATGGTTGCTGCCGGCATCACGGCACATGTGTCTGCCTCTGGGTCAATGCCTTGAGTGAACATGTTTAGGGCGAGGGTGACCAAGCACCTGGAAACGACGTGCGACAATGTCCTCCTGACTTGTGCTACCTCTTGAACGACCAGGCAACACAGCCACTTCAACCGCGGGACACGTTGCCCGTGCGTTCTCCGTTTCCGAAGAGGCAACCCTCAACGCGGTCAGCTCCTGACAGGTTCGTTTGGGACCTGACTGGCTTCGACTCGCAAAGGGCTCCTGCCATCAGGGCCAGCTCTGCCGCTGCGATTCCGGTGCCGCGATCGTTGTGCGGATGCACGCTGATGCACCTGAAAGGGCCACTTCAAATCATGCCAGCTGCCAACCCCTGTCTAGCACACAAGGCTCAGGCACGCAGTCCCGATGGTTGATGTGGGCACACATCCATTCAATTTGATCTGCGTACACCTTCGTCTGAAGACTCGTTTTCAAGAAACCAAGAAACCACTTGAGGCAATCGCTCGCAAAGTTCAGGCAAGCATCGTCACGCTTTACGGCCCTTCTCTCTTATTGTTGAGCTTCACGCATTCGGAGTGCACATCTCCACTGTCCCCGGCAAGTTCAGGATCAACTGTCAGCAGAGCGGTATGCATGGCCGTTGGCACTGTGGTAGCCTATGCGAACGCGCCGTGCGGACCTGCTGGCTAGGTGTTGGCTTCCACCTTGGGCACTTTGGAAATGTTTCAAATGCCGATGCGATCCTGATTGCATTGCCAATTCCTGGACGGCGACACCCTGACTCGAACAGCAGATGTAAGCTATGTAAGGCCCCCCACACATCAATCACGGCGTTGGAGACATCGAGCGCAAAATCGAGCTCCGTGCCGGTGAAGCTGGCGGCCGCACAACGACAAGTCAAAAGGCAACATCTACCTACTAGTAAGTGCCCAGAAATCCCGAAGCCGCACTGCCCCAAACACACACACACACACACACGCACACACACACACACACACTTCGGAATCACCCTTTCGGGGAAGGCAGATCGACACACACGGATAGCGCTCAAATTTTTAAGGATTGCCAGCTGCTACGCCGAGCCCAGGCACCTCCCGATGCGAACCCCCAGCTGCCACACCGAGCCCAGGAGCATCCACATGACAATATGAAGATACAGGTACGTTTACAGCACCACACCGACAAGCTCTTCGTTGGCTGCTCCCTGACGGTGGGTGGAGCAGCCCCCTGCAATCTTCTACAATTTCAATCACATGCACATGCATTTCCACTGAAACCCGTGGTCCAACAGGGCTTGTGCCCACACACACCGCCCGGCCCTCCCAGGGCCAGGATGGCAGTCAACACGAGTA